AATTCCAGCACTTGCATTTGCCGTCTAAAAAGCCAGTCTTTGTGCCAGGAAGTTTGCCTTGGCCACCTTTTGTTGACTGCCTCCGCCTGCGAGTGACATTAGTCGTGCAATAAGCAGACAGGCCCCAGTGACACATGTTTCCCAGTCTAGGTCCGTGACTGCTCCTGCTCCTTTTCCCGTTCCTGCTCCTGCTCCCGCTCCTGCTCCTGCTCCTTTTGCAGCTCCAACTGCTTACCCCGCTAGCTGGCTGCCCGCTTTGTTTGAGTTTCCTTCACCTTCTGGCAGCTGGGAAACTGGCAAAGTTTTTCAACTTGGCATGCCAGACACGTTGACAAAAGACGACAACGTTGCCAGCAACGACATAGACGAATTTATGCTAATCAGCTTGGATGCCGTGCCCTGGAGCCCTAAAGCTCTGAGGCCCTGGATGTCTGTCCTCCTGGATTTTGGCCACGAGGGTTGTTCGGCCATTTCGTGGTAAACTGGGGCATGGCAAATTAATTTGATTGTCGGGCATGATGAGGTTCACAGATAGAGCTCAGTTCACCTACCGACGAAAGGGTTGTGTGGGCTTGCCATTTAATTCCGGTTCCGGTACATCGGCATGTAATATAGGATCCGAATATGTAGCTAGCAATTGGCCACTCTATAAAACATTACGAAAATTCTTTCACTGGTTAGCGGGTTTTCATTGCAAAAATGTCTGCCTTTTATATAAAAATGTTCTCTGTTAACAGGCAACAAAGAATCATAATTTGAATTCCCTTGAATTGAAGATGAAAAGGATAAAAACTGGCATTAAAATAAATGATTAAATTAAATGGGGATCTTAGCCTCTAATGTATTTTCTTGCTTTCCAACTGTAGAATCCACAAATATAAGTCATAGCGCTTTCCCATGGCTTCTTTTGGTTCCGCCCTCGTGTGCCGCGACGTCCGTCCCATTTGATCGCTACCTTTGCCTGTTGACTGGCAAATTATAATGAGGCCTGGATGGGTCTTAGGCGGGGGAGCGGAAGGGAACGCGACTGCTGACAAATTTGCAGCCGTACTACAATAGTTGCCTGGCAGCCATCAAATCCACTCAGTGCACACTTCACGCACCAATTAAGTTCAATTTTCGATAGAATAACAAAACGCGCTCAGCATTTTCAGAGCTCATTCCCCTCAGTTTCCATCTGGGGAGTTTTCCTGCCCTTGGCGGGCATGGAAATTGACATCATTTGCTGTTAAAAATGTGTCGAGGGTGCTGCGTTCGCAATTACGTGTGTGCCGTATCCGATTCGAATTGGAATCGGGATCGGGAGGGGATGAGGATGAGGATGGGGATGCGGATTATCCGGGAGTGAGGACTGCATCTGTTTATGGCGAAGAGCCAGCGGGCGGCATTATAAGCACATTAAATTCTGAAGGCACAGCCGGGGCATGTCTGAAATGCTGACGACTTTCGGGCGGTGGGTCGCAAGTGGTTTTTATGCGCATGTATTATTATTGAATATCATTAGGAGTGCTCGTACGCACATCCCACCCTAATCTTTGCCGAACGTGAGGTCCTGCCCTTGGGGTCGATTCCTGAACTGTCAGCCAGCGCAAAGTCAAATCAATTCGGGGCGGGGCGAAACTAAAAAGTCCGCGTCTGGACCCAAGCCGTTTGCGTTGGACTGCGTTTAGTGGTTTAATTTTTATTTTTATGGTGCAATTTTATGGCAGCCCTTTCCACAAAGCACAAAGCAAATGTCCCATATGACAAGGTTACAGTGAGGGAAATAAATGTAAGCCGTTTCAGAAATACTTTCTTAAGGTTCATTTAGATATGTGATCAGTTAGTTAATAATGGAGATGGTATATGAAGGCAAAAACAGGAATTTATTTAGTATCAAAATTATATTTCATTGCTTTGAAATGGCCAATGAGATGCCCAGTTCGCGTTTTTCTATTTCAAGCACTGTACTTTGCTCAGTGCACCAGTAGAAGTCGTCCGGGTATGGTAAGAAGTTGCCTTTCAAGAGCGGCCCCGTCACAATGTGTTTTTTATGGGCTTCTGGGGCTCCGTTTTATGTTTCATCTTTTAAGTGCCCCTCGTTTGTTGCGGGTCTTAAGCAGGCTCTCCTCATGCGCCGAGTACTTTTCTGGCTTTTGTCATTAATGTGAGTTTTCCCCGCCCCGCCCCATAATTGCTACATTTTGTTTGCCGATGATGTTTCTGTTTCTGTTTCTGTCGCTGTTTCGCTCTGCAGCAATTCTGGTCGGGCTCATTAGTCGCAACCCAACTCAGCCGAGCCGAAATGAACTGAGCTGAAGTCTCAAGGATACGAGTGCGTCTGATCGGGGCTGAATAGATTTGTGTGCGGATTTCATATTCATAAGGCACATTCATTCGCCGGACTAATTAAACTTTTGCGCCGTTTTCTGGGAACCAGCCAACTGTTTAAATATTCCCCAGGCAGGCTCACTACACTCCATGAATGGCTAATTAGCAGCCGGGAGACAAAAACCAGACTCCGGCATCGGGAAATTGCCTAATCATGATTTTTGCATAATTCTTTAAAAGCTTCTCCGCCCGCCGGGGAGCGACCGCAGTTGAAAGGCTTTCTGCTCTTCAACCCTTGAAGGCTTCGAAATGAAAGTGGTCTCGCATCCATGGACCCACTTCGTCCGAGCAAGTCCTTTGTGTCTGTCCATCAAAGCTGAGCGGCATTATTATTATTATTAATAAGAATCCCTGTCTCGGAGCCCGTCTAAAGCCGATACCGATCCGTAACCGAATCAGACGGGCTGCAGAATTTTCAAAAATTAATTTATGACACGCCGTGGCACATTTTCCATTTTCCATGCGCACACAAAACGTGCTACGATTTTTATCTGCACCCCGTCCGAGTTCCACCCCTCCCCCTGTACCTATTATTTTTAATCCATTAAACAAATGCCACGTTACGAGGCCGTTGGTTCGTGTCCGTTATCAGCGGGGAAATGGGAAATGGGCAAAGGGTCTTTGATTTCCTCACCCGAGCATTCACAATGGGGCTTCCCTGCGAGGGTAGATATACTCGTATCTGTCTAGAGCAACGCCTCCGCTTCGGGCCATGCAATCGGAGAGTTTTCCTAGTTTCCCGGCCCTGCACTCTCTTCACGCTGAGTTATCATGTTCGGCGTGATGGAAAGGTACAAAACAGCCTAATGGCATTTGCGGCCAATCATTAATATCAATCGCGACAGATACTCGTATCGATCCGTTTGTCCACATGTGGGATTGTCCAGATGCAGTCGCCTGTGACTTCGTCTAGGGTTTCCCTCATCTCACACTTGAGATAATACGAATCTTTTCTTCCTGACAGGGTTGTTATCCGAGTATAGGGCTTCGTCTTCTGGGAACGTAATGTTATTCGCTTGATAGTCAATTATCATGACAAAGCTGATAGTAGTTTAAATATTTTCCTTTTTATCTCTTTATATAATTTGAAAATCTATCCCTTAATATTCCATTTTGAGAAGTCGCTTTCCTCCAGAACTCTGAAAAGCGTAAACTTCTTGTTCGAAACACAAACTAATCTCTGTGAGTATTATAAATCCTATAAATCATATCATCATATAAAAGGCTGTTGGCAAAAGCATTCAAAATGGGTGACCATTGTCACTCTCTATTATTTTTATCTCTACAATCCTTGTAAAATAAAATGGTAAGATAAAACAGTTACTAGCGTTAGGCGGTTTGAAATCATCTAACTGTTTAAAGAGATATCTGAATTTGAAATAAAACCCATTATTACCAATCGCACTTGTTTATTATCAAGAACAGTGTCTTGAGATCGTTGTAAGTATAATGGAAACTCGGGTTTCCTTCGAGCGTTGGGGCTAGGAAAAGTTCAGCATGTTCCTAGCTTCCCCTGAGCTTCACCCCTAACTAGTTTCGGTTCCCACACACAACAGCCTGGTTATCAAAGCATTTTCCTCGGATTTAAAGCTCATAACGATTCACAGCTGAGTGACCAAAGAGCTCTGAAAAAGCAGAAGCACAAAAGCCACTCTGCGCCACTCCGCTCACCCCTCCGCCAGTACAGTGCCTCCCCCGAAGACGCCCGCCTTCCCCGGAGCGAAAAAATCCAGGCGAACAAAGCAATTTTGTGGAATTACAAGAGCGTCTCTAATTGTTAAGTAAGCATAATGTGTGCAACATATGGCCGAGAGACTTGGCCGGACTTTGACAGCGCTTCCCCGACCCTCCTTCTCTGCCGCTTTCAGAAGCGGATGGGGATGTGCCTGGGAAATTATGGCAGCGACAGCCTGCAGGGCACCAAAAAAGAAAAAGAGAAAACAAATATCCAAACTGGAACGGGGGGGCACGAATAAATTGGCAAAACGCTCGCAAAAAAGATCCCTGTGTTTGTGTGTATATTAAAAGATATGTCAGCCATAAAAAGTGCTTACAGAAATATTTTATTGTGCATGTGGCAAGTCAACAAACTGTGCACTACGAGTACATCTCCGGTCCCGAGGAAGGGCAAGTGCCGGGATGAAAGCTGTTTCCACAATGGGGCGCATTCAGATGGAGTTTTTCTGCCCTCCTCGCCAACTGGAGCTCATTAAAGCTAAATAAAAGCATTGAACTGTGCAAACTGCCACAGAACCCGGACAAGGGCCGAGTTCTATCAGAAGATGCAAAGCAGAACAAACAAGATGGGTTGGGTATGTCATCATTCTCCCCTCTGAGACACTCATTACTCATGCCAGTTACCAGTTTAGTTCAGTTTTTCGTTATTATTGAAACATTTTTTGGCACACTTACTCGATCAATCATCATATACCTAAGTATTGTTACACAAATTTAAATTCAAGACTGCAAGTTCTGTAGAGGATTTTACTTTTGCGAAAGATTCCATTGCTGTGTAGAGGTGCCTGCTGCCCTCACCCAATCAAAACTATTTCCTTAAATTATTTCTGTCATATATACTCAAATGCTTTCCGACTTTGAGGTGGATATCCGACTCCGACTGATGTATATAACTACGGAAGCTCCTCGTAGACCTCGCAGCTCTCGTAGATGTAGTTATTTCTGGGCGGGAGTGGCAGAGGGTAGTCACTGGAGGGCGGAACCGAAGGCGCCCTGTCCCTGGGCGGACATATATATTTGTTTGACTCTGTCTGGCGGTGATTTGCTTGTTCCAGGTATCGGTGATAGGCGGTGATATATTCGTTATTGTCGAGAGTCGCAATCGGAGTCCTGTTGAAAGACAGTAAGAGTAATGTAATACCTTTAGCATTTAGAAAAGTGTTAACTTGCATTGGAAACAAGTTAAAGGCAAACATTAACACATTAATTTGATCATAGAATACCTACCCCGTATTGCCGTAAACTTCCTTCTCAAACCTACGGGGAATGAGGCCTGTCGTGGTAGATTCCCGCCGCTTACTGCTCCTTAACCAGGAGGGCTTCAGGCGAAGAGTTCCAAAGACAATGAGCATCCCGAGGAGGCTGCCAACGAAGAGGAGGCCAATTCCCAATCCAATAACCAGACCGCTGTGATCGTCAAACCAGGATGCTGTTGTGGGCACCACACACCTCATGGTCTTAAGAGAACAGCAGTCAGATGAGGAGCTAAAATTGACGCCTAACACCACACAGAAATATGTCGGAGTGGAGCATTCCGATTCGCAGATCTCCACCAGAAGACCATCCTTGCAAGTGGATGAACTCTCCAAATCTGCAGATCCAACCGATGTATTGGAAGAGATACGGGAACACACGAGATCTTGACACTTTTCCTCATCGCAGGCCGACGGCGGTGTGGAGACTGTAAATGGTTCGCTTGGTGTGGTTGGCTCTGCAGTGGTTGGAGCTCTTGTTGGTGTCGTTGGTAGTGTTGTGTCAAATACTAATCCAGGATCAAAGGCTCTTTTAGCCTGGATAGTAGACACCTCATCATCGTAAATAAATTTCTCCGAGGTATACCGATATGATTCCAGCTGAGTTGTGGAGCTTCTCAACTCCTGATTTTCATTTAAGTCCAGATGTTGCATCAGCTGTAGCCTAAGGGGTAGAGTGTCCCACTCGATTTGGCTTAGTCCAGAGTCCTTTATAATCAGTTCCTCCAGCGCGGGAACATTGTCAAAGGAATCTGAACTGAGACTCCCTCCGAAGTTAGTTCCACTCAGATCTAAAAATGTCAACTCGGTAAAGTTCCGGGATCCAAGGAAGTCTGCGACCGTATAAATAACCTCAGTGGAGTACGACTGATGAACCCTGGCATTAACTAGCGTTTCAGCCACAGCTGAAAGGAACCCATAAGGCCTAAACCGGTTATTGCCATTAACCAAGGTGAAGTTCTGTAGCTTTTGAAGGCCTTGTAAGGCTGATTCTGTTAAGTTTTCCAGTTGCACATTGACAAGTTGCAAGCTCATCAAGTATCGGGTGCTGTTTTGATCGAAAGTCCCATCGCTGATATGGATTATAGAGCAGTTCTCGATGGTTAGGTTATGCAATGCATAACTGCTGGAAAGGTGGCTGTATTCCAGAGAGTTATTCCTAAATTTACGATTAGACATCAAAAGCGAGTTGCCAAGGCTATTGTAGCTCTTGCTCGTAATATAGGGGGACTCAAGTTGGCTCTCCAACTCCGTTGAATTGGAGATAGCCTCCTCACTGTTATCGGAGAAGTCCACATTGACCAGGATCAGCAGAAGAGCGAAGGAAAAGACGGCCGGCAGGATGATGTACTTCAGCCATCTCATTCGACGCGGCTGATACAGCCGCTCCGGTTTCTTAGTCTTTTCCTCGTTCACCAAATCGAAGGACTTGGACTTGAACATACTATATCTGTATGCTAATGGAGGGGTAAAGTGCTCGCACCTGCTGGCCCAAAATCGAACTGATTGCTATCGCCATTTGCATAATTTCATTAGGCGAATTAGTTCCGCCTATTATCTGATAATGGTTTATTCCCGAGTGATAAGATTGCCGGCTATGCGACTCGGATAAGCAGCATGTGTACAGTTTTTCCAGATTCACCCTTTTTTGATCGCTACAGCTGCTCTTGGGTTCCACTAATTAAATTTATTAAACGCAGTTGGGCTTACCTTTTTGTGTGTATGTTGGACGTATTTGCCCATGTATTAAACTTGAAAATAATGAAGCATTGGTAATATGATTGATAATACTAAATGCTTGTATAATTAAATCCAAATTTGACTCAAATCTGGTATGCTTGAGGAATTATCTTAAATTTCCTGCCTTCAATGGCACTTGGAGCTCCGAGTCCTAATATATTTTCAAATTTCAACGCTAAACCCATTAAGGCCTCATCCTGGCGCAAATACGCCGGCATGTATCCGAATGTCTCCGAGGGATTCGGAACGGGAACCCTTGCTTCTGCAACATTTCGTATTCAGCATTTAACTTGTCGTTAGGGTAAATTTATAAGCAGCAGAAACGCTAACGTCAAGCGGCGGACGGCGGACGGCTCTCCCCCTCCGACTGCCACTGCCATTTTCCCACTCCCAGGCCAGTTCTGGTTCCCCTGTTCCGCCATCGACGTCCACATCACCAACAACATCAACATCAACATCGAAATCGACGGAGTGCAGAGGACGGAGGAAGGAGGACGGAGGACGGCTTGGCCACGCTTTATTATCTCCCCTCGGACGGCCTTTGTTTGCCGGCGACGCCGACTGCATTTCATTGAGCGTAATTCCGTTGCTAATGATTTTTGGCACACGTAGCGCTACTTTCGAAATTAATGCGCTATAAAACAGCAACATAAAGGCCCGGCAACTGAGACACTGAGAAATGGGCGCTGGGCGGATAGGAAATTGGCCTGCCAGCCGACGCAGAATTAAATGAAACTCTTCTTTAAATTGTTTTTCCACAGCTGAGCTACACGGAAAACAATTGAGTAGGTTTTTATTACCATTTCTATGATTTCTCATGACCTCTTTTTACGTGTCCTTACTCCTTAGAGGTTGGCAAATCTATTGCTTTAAGATCTGCAGAGTAAGTAGAGCCTCCATTAATTAAATTGCTAAAACATATTGAATTATAGTATTAATCCCTATTTTAAAGCATACTTTTCAAGGGGATTTAGTTAGAATACTAATTTCTTCTTAAGAGAACGAAAGACGAAGTATTAGTCATTTAACTTTTCTGGTCTTCACACCACATACCTACTTTAACCTGAGAGATGCTTTTATTTGAATAAAACTTATTGACCTACAGTCTTCAGCTAAGCGAAATATAATTTACAAAACTCCGCTTAAATTAAGTTCAGATTTAAAGCTCCCAACATATTTTCTGTGTGCACCACAAACACCCCCTTTGGGCAGGAAGTTGGCCACGTTTTTCCTGACTGATAAGAGAACCCACATGCGTTTGGATTTCTCGGGCTGAGTTTCTTCTGCGGTTTGGTTTTTTGCTCTGCATACATTTCCATATTAATTCCCCTGATTATGGCCTCCTCATCGTCTGCGTTCTGTTCCCCGACATTTTGTCCAGGACCGAATATCCGAAAGCGGACCACACTTCGGCGATGATGTTTCTGTTCCAGAATAATCCAAATCGGCATTATTTATGCATTCAGCTCTCGCATTCAGCTCAACCACTTAGCGGTTCCACTTCAACGAGCCCACAGATATATACAGATATATATATATATGTAGCATCATGTATATAATATGCATAGGAGTTACGTATGCATTTTAATGGACTCCAATTCCCCGGCCAAAAGTGCGCTCAAATAAATATTAATTTTGATAAATGCTGATGCAGGTCAAGTGAAGTCAAATTTGTGCTTTGGTTTGGTCTGAAATTTAGCGTTGATTTCTCGTATATTTAATTCCCTTTGTTTGCCAAAAATCAAAAGTGATTTTCTGGACTTCGTTAGCCTGATTAGAGTTTACGATTCCCATGAGCCATCCACCCATTATTATTCCAACTCCCAAGAGATGCCAAAGCGAAAAAGACGATAACGGGCAATGTCGATTGAATTCTGAGAAAAAGGCAACTAAGAACTTATCACAACTTATTTATCAGAAAGAATAAAAGGGCGTACATATATTTTTCACAATGTTAGCGGCCCACAAAAATGTGTAAAAAAGAAATGACAAGTCATTAACTTTAGCCAAGGGGCGGGCTATTACATTCCGGGGTAACTAGTTGAGGACTCGGCCTGGACTCACATCTCCAGGAAGTGGATGTCCATGGCGTGGTGGTCCACATCCACGTGAGGATGCAGCTGGAGGAACTTGACGTAGGCCAGAAAGGTGGTCCAGCACATGCTGAAGAAGGAGGTGAAAACGACCTGGTTTCGCGCCGGCACGAAGGCGAAGTTCACCGTCTGCACGCAGGGCCAATAAATTACGCCCACCTTGTAGGCGTCCAGGAATTTATCGCTGACCTGGGAACGAGAGGAGGGATCGGGGAGTTAGTGCAGTGACATAATGCTCCCAGCAGCGGGTGGAAAATGGAGAATGGAAATGGAAATGCCAGCGCGGAAAATTGTAATTAAGTGCCGGCTGGCCAGCGGCAGTAGGAGACGTTTAAAATTTTATTTATTGCCCGATTTCCCCTCTCACTGTTATGGGGCTCGCTACACGAGGGCGTGGCTGCTCTGTTAATGTTGTTAATTAAAAGGTAACGCCCGCCTCGAAAAACGGCGTTTGGATGGGTAAACAATTTCCAATTTGAAATGTCAAAAGCGGTGAGGATGTCGAGGTCTGGCCATTAACTATTGATTGGCAACCTTTCAGCATGGAAATCCTAATGGAAAATGGCCAAAGGAAGTCAGTTCAACTTGGAAAAGATTCGTTAAATTAAATCATAGACGCAATAATGGTTAGTCCTGAATAGAGGTATATCAGGTGCTTTGGAAGAATGAGGAAATTAATGCAGTCATAAGAAATTGAAGTTATTAGCATGAAGTTCCATGTGTGACTAATTCAAAAAAGAAAGCCAAAATACAATGTTTACGACGGTCTTAACTGGAGAAGATGGACAAAATGTGCTTTACCAGACATTCTGTTATTTACTTCTTGGCAGCATTTGAAAGTGTTTTTGCTTGAATTAGTTTTTAAATAATAGGTAATGCTTTAAAAATGGGCTAACAAAACTAACTTATGTATTATGTATTTTAATTTAAGACATTTTCTGACCATATTATTTTGAATAAGGTGTAGTATATAGTATACAGTATGGCTAAAAGTTATGGTTTTAAAATATGAAATAGTTTGTTGGTTTGTTTTGCGAAACGAAAGGTAGATATCATTTATTTTTGTGGTAAGAGGAAAATGTCAATAGCTTTTATTAAGTCGACTTATAATCACTGTTCTGCTTCTTCTTCTCGCTCTCATTTAACAAATATTTAGGTGAGGATCGAGAGACGGACGTCTTCATAGGCCACGCACATAACTCTTTTATGGCCGAAACCGAGCCGATCACATCGCTCAGAGAAGTCGGGCCATATATCTTTGGGGAACGCATGCAAAGCAAATGAGACGACGCACGTTTGACACAAATATATGGTAAAACATTTACATTTATCAAGATAAATGGTTTCTAATGATATGGAAGCCAGCCAGCGGCCAGCGGCCAGGGGCCAGCGATTGGATCGAACTCGGCCCTGGAGCAAAGTGCCTGAAAGTATCTCAAAGTATGGCCGCAGAGCCAACAAATCAGTGTTGACAACTCGAACGGAGGACCAGACGCAGAAATTGGGAATGGATGGAGGCAGGCGACAGACAGGTGATATTTATGCCTGCTTACATTACAGCCTCAGTCGCAGTCTGAGACTCAGATGCAGATTCATAGATACAGATACCAAGATACTGCGGCGACGGGCTGAATGTTTCGTGAGAAAATGGATTTCCCAAATCAAAACCAACACACCAAATCGGGTGCAAGAAGCCGATGGAAATCGGAGACTCGATTTCCAAATACGAGCAAATACCACTGGAAGCTGGCCGCAAAGTAATGAGCACAAGAGAAAGATCGAATGGATTAACTAAGCTGTGACTAATACAAGTTTATTAGTCTAATATTTAGTATGGCTCACCTAAACTAATATAAATAGTAATATGTTAAGGAACTTGAACCTATATTAATGTTTCAAAATATTTAAGATCCTATTTTTGTTAGGGAACTTAGTTACTTGATTCTTACTCATTGATCATATTTAGTTAGGGAACTTAATCCCTATTAGTTATCAAAGAAAAAGGAGAGTTATGGAAAAGGAAACTACGTAGAAACTCCTAATACTAACTTAGACTTAAAACCTCTTTCTTTGTCAATATTTAAGTGATCGCAATGGGATGTTAAGTGAAATGATGATGGAATGACATACCGCCACTCAAGGGGCTGAAACCTCAAGAGGAAGGACGAGACAATTTACCTCCCGCCTGGCCTCTGCGTACGAGTTGCCCTCCATCAAGGTCATGAAGAAGAGGAACGAGCTGATGGCCATCGGATCGTAAGCGGTCTGCTCCGTGATCGCCTTGCAGAACGATGACTTAATGTCGGTCCGCGGCCACATAACTCCAGCCAATCTGATCCACACATATATGGTCGGCCCCATGAAAAAGAAGCCGAATAAGCTGAACCTGCAGGGGAATCAGCCAATTAGCCGTCGAATCGGGCCAAGATCCATGGGACATCACCTGAGACACTTCATCCAGTCGTACGTTCGGAATGTCTTCTTCTCGATCATGGTCTGTTCGATGAGGGATCCGCAGGGCCAGAGGGTGCCATATGATATCATGCCGCGGAGCACTTTGTATTTGTTTGTGAAATTCACGAAGTTACGAAACATTTTCGCCGCTCTCGAGTGATAATCTTGCCGATAGTCAGTGCCAGTTCCACTTCC